TTCCCTCTCAATGAGATAAGGGTCAAAAGATTTGCAAATATGTTTTGAAACCTTTACACTTAGGAAACCACTTAATACTGCCTTCTTTCATCTCCCCAATGGAAGATGCAGGGGAGCTGGGAGGTTGAAAACATCTCAAATTTCCGGAGTAGGTTTTATTAACAGCAAATGTATGAGCACTACTGCAAGAATTGTGAGCATCTGTCTAAGTTCAGCACTGAGCAGGCACTTTAAATAGCGACACTTGCACAGGTGTACTCACATCCCACCTGCAAGAGGTGGTCTATTAAACCAAATGCCGGCGGCTTACAGGGGAAGCGAACGTTCTACGAACGCCTTTTTCAAGAGCCCAGGATTGTGCATACTGAGAAGTGACAGGAGTGCCTTGGTCACTATCAGTAACGTCTGGAACTAGGAAGGGAAAGGGAATATCCTGCTCAGCTCCTGTATCATAGACATAGGACCTGGAGAAACATCTGTTACCGTGATTTACATTCAGGCTGTACTGTGAGGCAAGGCATTTCCAGAATTCCTTACCCCACGGTGGGGCACCTCTTGGCTTAATGGCCCAAGAGTACGTAAAAATGTGCAGATGGGGCAACTTGTTGGCCAGAGGCACCAGTCTTAAGAGGACTACTTGATGTATGGCCCCTTATGCAGACTCTTGGGTCCTTCCCTTCATCAGGGACACCCTGGATAAGGGATGAAAGCCAGCAACATTCCCCTGAGCTCCATCACATGTCAGGACGATGATGGCATCTGTAAAGTCTAAGAACTGCTACTGCTGCTCATTCAGTTCATTCCAAGGGACAGTCCCGGTAACGGGGTCCGGGAGAAGGGGGATCTCTTCCAGCACCACAGCTGGGCTGAATGAAGCAGAAGAGCACAGCCCCCTTGCAGCTGGGATACGCCAGAGACCCCACGTTTGGCTCCATCATGCAGCAAGGAAGCGTCAGTAACCATGCTTGCAAGGTACTGCTTCCATGACTCAAGCTGCAACAGGCAGTTGGGTATGGAGGGTCCCAGGCTCAGGGAGCCTCTTTGTGCTGGGGCACCAAGTACATGACCAACAACTGATGCTCCAATGGGGATTACTGCAAGGCTGAAGAAGGTAGTTTCTTGCATCAGAAGCCACTGGGCAACCTATGGCCACCCTGAGGGGGTCTACAAACTCCAGTAGGAATGGGGGGATACTGGCAAAGTTTCTGCAGTGAAGAAGGGCACTCACAGGAGTGCCTGCTGACTTCAATGTGGATTGATTCTAGAGCCTGTTTGTGGAGGGGGTCCTATACAAGTTGGGCCAATTGAAGGTAAAGCCATCAATAAAACTGAGTAAACTGTTTACGTGGGGAATATGTTCCTTGCAGAACCCAAGAAGAAAAGACACATTTGTATTAACATTCTGTGTGCTAAGAATACACAAGAGAAAGAACAGTCAGTAGCAGTTTCATGACAGTGGCAGGGATGCAACAGTCCCAGGTTTACAAGTAATTTTCAGGGAATTTACCTGATGTGGATCTTTGCAGTATGTATGGGAAAATGAATTATCACAACTTTTGTATGTGAACGCCTAATACATGGGTGAAGGATCTCCTTGGAGGATGAGGTCATCAATATATCATACC